GTAGGTGAGCCCTGTCAATTGGCGGTCCGCTTGCTCAATGATTTTGGATGCTGAGTCCGGTCCATGCTTGGCCCTTGCGTCAAACAGCTTTCCGTAAGCCTCGAGGTGCTGCTCCGCCTTAGCTCTAGCATCACCCCCATTCACACCTTAGTGGGTCAAGGGGCGCACAAGTGGTTGAAGAAGGGTTATGGCAGTGCAACGGCGAGCAAGTTTGACCGCTCATCACTCATGTCATGACAACCCCCGCTTACCAGCTTTAGAGCCGGCACGCATTAGCCGTTGGTGCGCCTTATCGGAGTTCATCATGTAGAAGTATAGCAAGTCCGCCATTGTCGCCTTCTTTGCTCCTCCCATGAGCGCAGACAGTCCGCCTAGCTGGACACAGACTGCTGGCCTCAAGTGTTTTGAAACACCATGCATGGCTTTGTCATGCGCCTGGCCCAACGCTGCCGCCAGATGGTCCTTGTTTGGGTCTGCGGCTGCCTGGCCCCTGCTGGGTTGCGTTTGATGGAGAGGTGGTAAGGGCGGGGGTTTGGGGCAGGCCTTGATAGGGGTGACACGGGGTGGCCATGTGGGAGATGCTTTGACACGCCACACCTCTCTTAACTCTTACCTCCCTGCCCCACCTTGACATACAAAAAAGGCTAGCCTCAAACACATCTCGATGCCCATGCCTTGACTCCCCTCTCGGTTCCCACCTAACCCACCTCCCTGCAGCACCTTGCCGCTCCTCTCGGCTGTACCCTTGCTCACCTCCCTGCCCTGCCTAGGAGCTTCTCTCGGCTTCCCCCTTGCTCACCTTCTTGCCCCACCTTGACACTCCTCTCAGCTCCCCCCTTACTCACCTCCCTGCTTCACCTTGACACTCCTACCTGCTTCCCCCCTGCTCCCCCCTCCTGCATCACCTTGACACTCGTCTATGCTCCCCCATTTCCCACCTCCCTGCCTCACCTTGACACTCCTCTCTGCTTTCACCCTGCTCCCCCCTCCTGCATCACCTTGACACTCTACTCTGCCTTCCCGCTTGCTCCCCCCTCCTGCCTCACCTTGACGCTCCTCTCTGCTTCCCCCCTGCTCCCCCCTCCTGCACCACCTTGACACTCGTCTATGCTCCCCCCTTGCCCATCTCCCTGCCTCATCTTAACACTCCTCTCTGCTTCCCCACTGCTCCCCCATCCTGCATCACCTTGACACTCCTCTCAGCTCCCCCCTTGCCCGCCTTCCTGCATCACTATGACACTCCTCTCTGCTTCCCCCCTGCTCATCAGCCAAACTTCCAAACCTTCAGCCAGACTCCCAAACCTTCAGCCAGACTCCCAAACCTTCAGCCAAACTTCCAAACCTTCAGCCAAACTTCCAAACCTTCAGCCAACGTTCCAAACCCTCAGCCAAACTTCCAAACCTTCAGCCAAACTTCCAAACCTTCAGCCAAACTTCCAAACCTTCAGCCAAACTTCCAAACCTTCAGCCAGACTTCCAAACCTTCAGCCAAACTTCCAAACCTTCAGCCAATCTCCCAAACCTTCAGCCAAACTTCAGCCAATCTCCCAAACCTTCAGCCAAACTTCCAAACCTTCAGCCAAACTCCCAAAACTTCAGCCGACCTTCCAAACCTTCAGCCAAACTCCCCCCCCTTCAGCCAGACTTCCAAACCTCCAAAACTTCAGCCAAACTTCCAAACCTTCAGCCAAACTCCCAAACCTTCAGCGAGACTTCCAAACCTCCAGCCAAACTTCCAAACCTTCAGCCAAACTTCCAAACCTTCAGCCAAACTTCTAAACGTTCAGCCAAACTCCCAAACCTTCAGCCAGACTTCCAAACCTTCAGCCAAACTTCCAAACCTTCAGCCAAACTCCCAAACCTTCAGCCAGACTTCCAAACCTTCAGCCAAACTCCCAAACCTTCTGCCAGACTTCCAAACCTTCAGCCAAACTTCAAAAACTTCAGCCAAACTCCCAAACCTTCAGCCAAACTTCCAAACCTTCAGCCAAACTTCCAAACCTTCAGCCAAGCTTCCAAACCTTCAGCCGAACTTCCAAACCTTCAGCCAAACTCCCAAACCTTCAGCCAGACTTCCAAACCTTCAGCCAAACTCCCAAACCTTCAGCCAGACTTCCAAACCTTCAGCCAAACTTCCAAACCTTCAGCCAAACTCCCAAACCTTCAGCCAGACTTCCAAACCCTCAGCCAAACTTCCAAGCCTTCAGCCAGACTTCCAAACCTTCAGCCAAACTTCCAAACCTTCAGCCAAACTCCCAAACCTTCAGCCAATGTTCCAAACCCTCAGCCAAACTTCCAAACCTTCAGCCAAACTTCCAAACCTTCAGCCAATCTCCCAAACCTTCAGCCAAACTTCCAAACTTCAGCCAGACTTCCAAACCTTCAGGCAAACTTCCAAATCTTCAGCCAAACTTCCAAACCTACAGCCAAACTTCCAAACCTTCAGCCAAACTCCCAAACCTTCAGCCGAACTTCCAAACCTTCACCCAAACTCCCAAACCTTCAGCCGAACTTCCAAACCTTCAGCCAAACTCCCAAACCTTCAGCCAGACTTGCAAACCTTCAGCCAAACTTCCAAACCTTCAGCCAAACTTCCAAACCTTCAGCCAAACTTCCAAACCTTCAGCCAGACTTCCAAACCTTCAGCCAAACTTCCGAACCTTTAGCCAAACTTCCAAACCTTCAGCCAAACTCCCAAACCTTCAGCCAACGTTCCAAACCTTCAGCCGAACTTCCAAACCTTCAGCCAAACTTCCAAACCTTCAGCCAAACTTCCAAACCTTCAGCCAAACTTCCAAACCTTCAGCCAAACTTCCAAACCTTCAGCCAAACTCCCAAACCTTCAGCCAGACTTCCAAACCCTCAGCCAAACTTCCAAACCTTCAGCCAAACTTCCAAACCTTCAGCGAAACTTCCAAACCTTCAGCCAAACTTCCAAACCTTCAGCCAACGTTCCAAACCTTCAGCCAAACTCCCAAACCTTCAGCCAACGTTCCAAACCCTCAGCCAAACTTCCAAACCTTCAGCCAAACTTCCAAACCTTCAGCCAAACTTCCAAACCTTCAGCCAAACTCCCAAACCTTCAACCAAACTTCCAAACCTTCAGCCAAACTTCCAAACCTTCAGCCAAACTTCCAAACCTTCAGCCAAACTTCCAAACCTTCAGCCAAACTTCCAAACCCTCAGCCAAACTTCCAAACGTCCAAACTTTCCAAACCTCTCTGCTTTCACCCTGCTCCCCCCTCCTGCATCACCTTGACACTCCTCTCTTCCTTCCCCCTTGCTCCCCCCTCCTGCATCACCTTGACACTCGTCTATGCTCCCCCCTTGCCCGTCTCCCTGCCTCATCTTAACACTCCTCTCTGCTTCCCCCCTGCTCCCCCATCCTGCATCACCTTGACACTCCTCTCAGCTCCCCCCTTGCCCGCCTTCCTGCATCACTATGACACTCCTCTCTGCTTCCCCCCTGCTCCCCACTCCTGCCTCACCTTGACACTCATCTCTGCCCGCCCCCTGCTCCCCCCTCCTGCATCAGCTTGACACTCGTCTTTGCTCCCTTCTTGCTCACCTCTCAGCCTCCGCTTGACACTCCCCATGGCTCCCCCCTTGTTCATCTCCCTGCCCCACCTTGACAGTCCTCTCAGCTCCCCCCTTGTTCATCCCCCTGCCCCACCTTGACAGTCCTCTCAGCTCCCCCCTTGTTCATCTCCCTGCCCCACCTTGACACTTCTCCCTGCCCCCCCATAGCTGATCTCCTTGCCTCGCTTTGACACTTCTCCCTGCTCCCCACTTGCTCATCTCCCTGCCTCACCTTGGGAACGTGTGAGGGGTACAAGGCACTGCGCGTTAATCCGTGCGGGCCCCCATCGCCTGTGGTGGTATGCAACGCCCTCGCATGTATGGTTCGCGCCTATGGCCGGTGGCGCTTAGTGATTTTTGCGTCGCGCTTTGGGCGGCCGTCCCGTGGTGTTTTTTTTACCCCTTCTATCATTTCAGCCTGGCTCTCATTTCTGTCTCCCTCGCGGGCTTGCAAACGCTCTCCCGGTCTAGACGCTCACCTGTGTCCCTGTGGTTTCTGCCGTTTGCGGGCCATGTGCGCTTCGGGACCGTTTCCGCGATCAGCGCTAGTCTTTGCGACGCGCTGCCTTCATGCGTTAGGCGAGGCCGCGACTATCCTGTCTCCTGCGCCATCGCAGCCGTTTGAGCTCTTTGTATGCCGCTCGTTCCTTACATGAGCTTCCCAATGCCTAGTTTATATGCTGTGTGCTGCTGCGGGCAGAGTGGTGTGGCGGCTGGTGGTATTGTTCTCTCACTCACAGCCTTTTTCGTTGCTCACCAAATTCATTTTGCATTGCCAAGATACCCACCGCTTGCTACCCTGCTTGACCCCGCAGTTTGTAGTTTGACGTGCTCGTTGTTTTCGGTGTTCTCCTCCTCCCCCCCCTCTGCACCTTGCGCGCCCCTCCTGTCCCTTTTCCGCCATCAGGTTTCCCCCTTCATCCTTTTACTTTGGACGCTGGGTTTTATAGCACATTTTTCACGCGTGCTGATTGGTGTTTGCTCTTCGTGCAATGGGTTGGTTTTCGCGTAGGGTGTTGCGATGTTCGCTCCTTGGCGAACCACACTTGCCACCTCGCACCTCTGCTCCACGCCCCTGCTCGTTGCCGTGCCCAGCTTTTAGCCCTATCATGATTATTAATCTTGCACGTTTTGGGTCAACGGCCTTAACGAATAGTACGACGTATATTACCCGAATCAGCAATACCGCATACGGAAGACGAAACGGCACATTCGACTCTAGATTTTCCAGCCGAGGCGGCGAATTGTTGTCCCCACGATACTGCACCAATTCCACCCTTGCTGCTGTCACCAGGGACTCCCCGTCTACTGCTTGGCAGGGAAGCCCAAGCGAACTCAAGGGAAGTGCCACAACTGTCAAAATCTGAAACCCATAGCTTGCTCGAACAGCATGGACTGCATGCCTGCATGCACCGAGACTGGGCAAGTTCTCTTCAATCTCGCAGGACGGTTCGGTTCCCCGTCGCTGTCGTTCCGTGCTGTGCATGCGGTTAGGAAGCAGCACGCCTACACCCACCCGGTTTCTGACAGAATTCGTCGCTTCTTCCCGTTGCATACTCGTACATGGCCGTGGCTTGTGCGACTGAGTCGACTTCCAACAAGTACTTATATGGCACGTGAGACCATCGCTTCATTTATCGCCGAAATTTCTACGAGTTTTTTTACTGCTTACTATTCAGCCCTCTATTGTTCCCTTCAAACCCTCTTAAACACCTCAGAAACATTTAATACTCACCTAAATAGTCCTTCCCTCGTCCACTCAACCCGTCGCGGCCGCCATGTCGCTACTGCCGGCGCACAAGACGCGGCCCCTCGACTTTGGCGCAGTCCTGCTGCTACTTTTGGTGGCAGTTTTTGCGACCGGTAAGCGGAGACATCCACGTTACTATAATGCGAGGAACAAAGCAACGATTGTATAGTCTGGCTCTGCCGCCATGTGTTGTATCACCCTGGTATATTCGCTCGATGCTACGTTGGTTGCAACGATGCTTCTGCACAAGTCTTCTCACCATGGAGAAAACTCCATCGCTTGGCGTCCTTGTGTTTTCATCCTCTCATGAAGCCACACAGAGGACCCTCAACCTCCCATGATGCGTTCCTCTCCATCCCCCCGCTCTCCACATATTTTTCCACTTTCGCCCCTCTCATGCCTCTTCCTCTCTCTTTTTCCCTCTCTCGTCTCATCTCACTGCGTGCAACCTGTGGCGTTCCTAACTCCATCCGACCTCCATCCGACGTCCATCCGACGTCCACGCGACCTCAATTCGTCAGAGATGGCAGCAGCATCTGAGCCGCCGGAGGTGACGGGGAAGCAGGAGAAGGACGTGACACAGCTGCAGATAGGCGTCAAGGTACGCGAATGGGATGAATGGGATGAATGAGATGAATGGGATGCATGGGCTTCGTACCTGGGTACAGCTCCAGGCAGTGCTGAGAATATCCAAATAGCTGAGCGCCTGGCTGTACCAGTGCTTGTGGGTGATCCTGGGAGTTAGGACGTGAGAGTTTTCTGCCCATCACTGGGTGCCATGCGTCGACCTCATGAGTTCAGGCGTCTGGAATTTCCTGTCAGCAGTCTACACTCATGCGTTTCCAACTGGACCTGTGCTCTTTCCTCTCGTCTCCGCTGCTATCTCCCCTGTTGCGACTTCTCTACGCGCGCGCCGCAGTTCAAGCCCAAGAGGTGCAGCGTGACGGCACACATCAATGACCGAGTCAAGGTCCACTACAGGGTGAGTCCGCTGCTCACCTCATTACTGTGCGTTCGCTGTGGCCCTCATGGGTGCGCTGATGCGCTCACAACCCAAAGAATTCCACGCCCACCAGCATGGCACCTGCCATGCCATGCCATTCGTCAGTAGTCGATGCCAGGCATTCAGCCCTCCAAGGGCTCCTCCCCTCCCAGTACCCCCCTATCCCAACGCATCTCCCGTGTGTCAGCATCATCTCTCTAGCCATACTACACAGTGGACCACACCAGCGCGTCGACTCTACTATACGACGCTACATCTGTCCTGTCCATCTTCCTTTCCTTCCGCTCCTCTCGCTTCCGCTCCCCCAAGACTGCGCTGTCAGAAAACTTCCATTGGCCTTGATGTCGCCTAAGCTCCCCTCTGCTCCCCTCTGCTCCCCTCTGCTCCCCTTTGCTCCCATCTGCTCCCTCCCCTGCCTGCCTTCCCACACACTCCCAGGGCTTCCTGACAGACGGGAAGCAGTTTGACAACACGTACGACCTGGACCAGCCAGTGCAGTTCCGCCTGGGCGCAGGCAGCGTCATTAAAGGTGGGTGGGACGCCGTGATACGCGTACGCATCATTCTTAGGCGCCTCAAGATCCGTGCGATAGCACCTACGAAGCCTAGTACTGAGGCTCCTTGAAACAACACGTACGATTTGGACCAGCCAGTGCAGTTCTGCTTGGGCGCAGGCAGCGTCATCAAACGTGCCTATTCGCTGCACACCGCCACTCACACACGTACCCTCTTCCCGCCTCACACCCTCACCCCTCTCTCTACCGTTTCCACCTCTCTCCTGCCCACACCCCTCTCACTCTCCCTCCCCTCCCCCTCTCTCCCTCCCTCCCCCTCTATCCTACTCTCACCCCTCTCCCCCAGCCAGCCTGTCATGCTCGCATCCCCCCCTTCCCCTCTCCTGCCGCTCCCCCCCAATCCTCATCCCCTCTCTCGGCTCCTCGCTTTCTCCTTGGTGCAGTCTCGTATCGCACCTTCTTTATTCTCTGATATTTCATCTCCTCGTTGTCATCGGCGGAGAGAACTGCTTTTGAGGCGCCTCAAAAGCACTCTCGTATCTCACCTTGTTTATTCTCTGATGTTTCACCTCCTCGTTGTCATCGGCGGAGAGAACGGCGTGCCGGCAGAACCGCATGCCAAGAGCACGCCGTGTTGGGCATGTGCATGGGGGAATAGCGCAAGCCCAAAGTCCGCCCCCGCCCCCCCCCGTCTTTTCCCCCCCACCCTCCCCCCGTCTCCCCGCAGGGTGGGAGAACGGTGTGCTGGGCATGTGCATGGGAGAGAAGCGCAAGCTCAAGGTGCCGCCGCACCTGGGATACGGCGACGAGGGCCACGTGTACGGCATTCCGCGTAAGTGACCCGACCCGACCCGACCCGAACCGACCCGACACGGGCTACACGCACCTGCTTTTGAGTCGAATCAAAAGCCACGTGTACGGCGTTCCGCTTAAGTGACCCAAGCGACATCCTCCTGCTTTTGTGATGACGTTAGGGTCGATTCGCATGCCGCCGCTCTTGGGGCATGGCGACGCAGGCCACGTGTTCGGTATTCCTCGTAAGTGACCCGACCCGACCCCGAGCGACTCAGCTATCCAGCTACGCTTTCGACAGGAATGCAGTTGCGATTACGATATGCTGCTCACGACTCGCGGCGATCGCTTTAACTTGATCATTTTCGCCTTTCCCTGCGTCGTCCTCTTACTCCTCGCTCTCTTTCTCCGGCCTCCCGTCCCCATGGCTATCACCGTCGCCATTGCTGCCGTGCAACCGGCGCGACGATCATCTCCGAAATGCAGCTTTGTGGCTGGAGAAGTGCTTTAAACGCGCCCATGCGACCCTAACAGTCCCCGTTTCCCTTTGCGTCTGATCGTAATTGCTGCGTGCAGCCGGCGCGACGATCATCTTCGAGGTGCAGCTCGTGGGGCTGGAGAAGGCGCGCAAGAAGCGCGCGCGAGCGACGGCTTAGACTGGTCATCAAGTCTCGGGCAGCGCGCGCGAGCTTGCTAGCTAGCTTTCTTGCATGGCTAGTACTGAGCTACTAAGTTTTTTGACTCCGATTTCAAGTACGGGTAGTAGGTTGGGGTTTCGTTTTTTATAATGTGAGTGTCATTGTTATGAATTAATCAGAGTAATAACAGGTAGCGTAATAAAGGAGTCGTGATTTAAGTGTGTCAATACAAATGAGGGCCGAGGCATTTATACGCATGAACAGAGCTAGCTGAGAACCACGCGAACAGGCTGGAGCGGTCCGGTTGACGAAAGCCACGCAAGCGCCGCGCGTCTAGGTTTGGATTCACGAAATGGTTCGGGACTGAAGAAGTAGGCCAAGCCTGGACATTCGAGAGTTGACAGCGTACGCGCTGTAGACGAGCCCAGTAAGGAAAAGGAAATTTCCTTACACCACCCCCCCTTCCGGGATGAGACTACCCACATCCGGAACGCGTTGTCGGTGTAAATAGTCCCGGAAGACTGTGTGTTCGCCGAGCATAGTATCAGAATGAATAATAACTAGAATGGGGAGATACAAGGCAATATAGATTGGTGAGCTGTACCCACTAAGGCACAAAAATATATAGTCTACAGTAACTGCATAAGTTATGTTTGACACACCCCCTAGACTATATAGGGGCAGTGCATGTTGGAAATACCTCAAAGACTTAAGCGTTTCTGAAGTGTGACACTACACTCAAAGAAAGCCGTACCGGGTACGCGAGTCAACAGAGGTTACACGAGGAGGTTGGACGAAAGGACACGAAAGGACGAAAGACCCGAAGGGTTGCAACTGGAGGTTTCTGTCAAACATGTGTATCTCCTATGTTTGCATAGACTGTAGAGGGCCACGTCTTAGAGGGTACAACACTTAGGTATATTCACCTGTACTCTCTCTCTACTCTATCATTCAGTTCTCACTTTAACATGGTATCACGCGTAGGTTAGGATCCCCCACCTACCGCTTCCGCCCGTACTCTAGCTAGGCCCCGCCGCTTCCCCCCGGGCCCCGTCGCGCCTCCTAGCCCCGTCGCGCCCCTCCTGGGCCCTGCCGCGCCTCCTAGCCCCGTCGCGCCGCTCCTGGGCCCCGTCGCGCCGCTCCTGGGCCCCGTCGCGCCTCCTAGCCCCGTCGCGCCCCTCCTGGGCCCCGTCGCGCCCCCCTATTCCCATCGCGCCCCCCTAGCCCCGTCGCGCCCCTCCTAGGCCCCGTCGCGCCCCCCTAGCCCCGTCGCGTCCCTCCTGGGCCTCGTCGCGCCCCCTAGCCCAGTCGCGCCCCTCCTGGGCCCCGTTGCGCCCCCCCTAGCCCCGTCGCGCCCCTCCTGGGCCCCGTCGCGCCCCTCCCGGGCCCCGTCACGCCTTCTAGCCACGTCGCGCCCTGCCTGGCCCCGTCGCGCCCTGCCTGGCCCCGTCGCACCCGCCTGGCCCCGTCGCGCCCTGCCTAGCCCCGTCGCGCCCTGCCTGGCCCCGTCGCGCCAGCCTGGCCCCGCCGCGCCTGCCTGGCCTCGCCACGCCTGCATGGCCCTGCCGCGCCTGCCTGGCCCCACCGCGCCTGCCTGGCCCCGTCGCACCTGCCTGGCCCCTCCGCGCCTGCCCGGCCCCGCCGCGCCTGCTTGGCTCCGTCGCGCCCTGCCCAGCCCCGTCGCGCCCTGCCTGGCCCCGTCGCGCCTGCCTGGCCCCGCCGCGCCTGCCTGGCCCCGCCGCGCCTGCCTGGCCCCGCCGCGCCTGCCTGGCCCCGCCGCGCTTGCCTGGCCCCGCCGCGCCTGCCTGGCCCCACCGCGCCTGCCTGGCCCCGCCGCACCTGCCTGCCCCCTACGCACCTGCCTGGCCCTGCCGCGCCTGCCTGGCCCCGCCGCGTCTGCCTGGCCTCGCCGCGCCTGCCTGGCCTCGCCGCGCCTGCCTTGCGCCCGTCCCAGCCGGCCCCGCGCCCGCCCTCGCGACCTCCGCGCCCGTCTGCTCGGCCCCTGCGCCCGTCCCAGCCGGCCCCGCGCCCGTCCCGTCGGCCTGGTGCCCGCTGCTTCTGGCCCCCGCGCCCGTCCTGCCCCGAGCTGTGTGCGGCCCGCTCGTCGTCCCTGCCCCGGCCCTGCATCCTCTCTGGTACGGTTCCCCATCACCTGTACCGCACTGCACTGAGCTGCACCGCACTGCACTGCACCGCCCTGCACCGCACTGCACCGTACTGTACAGTCCTGCACTGCTCCTGATGGCTGCGGAGCTTTGCTTCGACACTGAAGGCCAGCCTCTGGAGTTCGAGGCGTGGCTCGCCGACCTCCGTCGCCACCTCACTGACCATCGGCAGGATGGCCACCCGCTTTTCGCACACCTTGACGGTACGCTCCCCTGCCCAGACCCCCCTGCTGTGCTGCCCGCTGACCCCACACCCGCTGAGCGCGAGTCTACTGCAGCCACTGCCCTTGCGTGCTCTGTCTGGCTTTCCCGAGACGCTGTCGCTCAGCTTGCCATTAGCAATGCCCTTCCCCCGTCTGAGCGCCCTCGCTTTAGGTCCATCACTACCGCCCAGGCTTACTTAGATGCTGTCATCTTGCGCTATTCCACCCCTCCTGCTGCCTCAGTGGGTCGCCTGATCCTCCCGATGCTCTTTCCCGACCTTGCGTCTTCCTCCACTGTCTCTGACCTAGCTGCCCACCTGCGCTCGATAGATGAGACCTGGCGCGCTGCCTGCACTGACACACAGCTTAGAGCCCACCAGCCGCCCATTACCTCTACCCTCTACCTGCTTGCCATCCGCCTCCCTGACCGCCTTGCCGCCGCCCGCGACCGCTTCCTTAGCATTCACCCCGGTGAGCTCACCCTCCCCGACTTTGTAGACACCCTGACTGTTATTGAGACCCGCCACCGCTCCATCGCCCAGGTGAGCGGTACCGTGCCGTTCCCTATCTTTCTGGGTTGTGCCCCCGCTTAGTGTACCTTCTCCGACGGTTCTGTCGCTGTGGCTGAGACTGCTGCTGCAGCGCAGCTTCGTTCGGGGAAGGGCCGCCGCCCCAAGGCTGGGCGCGGCGGAGGAGGCGGGGGTGCAGGAGGGGGTGGTGGTGGAGTCGGGCCGTCTGGTGCTGGAGCGGACGAGGGGACCCTTCCCGGTCCAGCTGAGACGCCGCCACCGAAGTTGCAGCAGCAGTAGCGGCAGCCGCAGCAGTCGCAGCAGCTGCAGCCTCCGCAGCAGCCGCAGCAGCCGTCGCAAACGAGGCAGGCGAGTGTCCTCCCGCCCGGGTGGCCTGGCGCTAGAGGTGGTCAAGCGCGTGGTGGTGTGCCGAGTGGTGGTTCGGGAGGCGTGCGCTGTCAGTACCAGATCCAGACCGGTCCTCGCCGCGGCTTCGTTTGCGGTAAGCTCGGTCATTCCAGTCCCCGCTGTTTTCGTCGCCTGGATGACCAGTTTCGTCAGCGCTTCGGCCCGTCGCCAGACCTCCCGGACTGGCACAGTTTGCTTAGTCGTAGGATTCAGATTTTTGACATGGACATGGATGCCATTATTTCTGCTCTGCATGTGATGTATGCTGATGACTCTAGTGCGCTTCCCGCTTATTACTCACTGTCGTCTAGTGTAGGTGTGCCTAGCTTAGCCTCCCCTGCTACGTCAGGCGTAGGATCCCCTGCTTTATTTAGCCTTGGTGCTTCCGCCGTCGCCCCGTCGCCGGACGCCACTGCTTCGCTTTCCTTCACCTTGGACTCTGGCGCTTCCCGGTGCTTCTTCCGCGACTCTACTACACTGACGCAGCTTCCTGTTCCTGCTGCCGTTTCTCTTGCTGACCCCTCCGGCGGTCCGGTAGTCGCCCGCAGTTCCACCACCCTTCCCTGTCCGGCGGTTCCTTCGGGCTGTCTTACAGGTCTGCATATCCCCTCGTTCTCCAGGAACCTAGTTGGTGTCGGCTGCCTCTAGGACCTTGGCGTCACCACTACGTTCCCTGGTCACGAGCGGTATGATGTCTGTACCGAGGCCGCCACCGGTGCCCCCTTGTCCACGTTCCCCCGGGACCCGATGTCCGGCCTGTTCACTCTGGACACCGTGACCCCCCCGGCTGGGGCGCCCCCTAAGGTGGCTGCACCTACCCAGGTTGCTGCTGCCTGCTCCTGTCGGTCCCTCACTCACCCGACTCTCCTTTGGCACCACCGCCTAGGTCACCCTGGGCTTCCGTGTCTGCGTCACATGTCCCAGCACGGTCTCGTCCTTGGTCTCCCTGGTTCTCTCCCCGCTTTTCCCTCCTCCCCAGCTCCACCTTGCACGCCTTACGTCGAGGGTTGGCTTCGCCGTGCCCCTCACTCCTCCTCGTTTCCCCCTACCGCCGCGCCGCTGCAGACCCTGCACATGGACGTCTGGGGCCCCGCCCCCGTCCATGGGCCGCGTCGAGAGCGCTACTTCCTTGTGCCTGTCGACGACTTCACTTGCTACACCTCGATCTTTCCCCTGGAGCGGAAGGCCGACGTGCCTGCCGCTCTCATCCCCTGGCTTGTCTCTGCCCGTGTCCACCGAGGTCTCCCTGTCTTGCGCCTTCACTCCGACCGTGGTGGCGAGTTTGCCTCTGGTGTCCTTGGTTGTTTTTGTCGTGCGGAGGGCATCAGCCAGACGTTCACCCTCCCAGACTCCCCACAGCAGAATGGGGTCACTGAGCGACGCATCGGTTTGGTCATGGAGGTGGCTCGCACCTCCATGATCCATGCCGGTGCACCCCATTTTCTGTGGCCGTTCGCTGTGCGCTACGCTTCTCACCAGCTTAACCTGTGGCCGCACCCCCAGCAGCCACACGTTTTGCCGACCCGTCTTTGGACTGGGTCTCCTGGTGACGCGTCTGCGTTCCACGTCTGGGGCCGCCTTGCTCACGTCCGTGCCTCTGGCACGGACAAGCTCACTGCCCGCACCCTTCCCTGCGTCTTCCTCGGTTTTCCCTTTGACGCGTCCGACCGGCACTTCTACCAACCGCCGTCTCACCGCTTTTTTCAATCTCGCGACGTCACCTTTGACGAGTCCGTCTCCTTCTACCGTCACTTCCCCCACCGCGGTCCCCCGGTTACCCCCCCCCTGTTCCTGGTCACTCCTTCCCCGGTAGTCCCTGCCCTCCCCCCTGTTCCTCCCCGTCCTGCCCCCTCTGGTGTGTCCCACGTCACCCCTCTTCCGTCGGTGGTCCCGGTTGAGGAGTCTTCTGACTCTGGTGGTCCTGCGGCGCAGTCCTCGCCGGCTGCCCCCCCCCAGGCGT